TCCCTTTTTTTTTTTTTTTTTTTTTTTTAAAGAATTATACTTATTTACCATTCTGTAATTTCTAGAATTGAACAATTCTTATTTACTCCAATAGAAGAAAAATGTATGTACAACAATTAATTTCGCTTATTCTACGATCTTCTCATTCAACAATCTTTACTTCTGCATTGCGACTTCTTCTATCCGTTATATTACATATCAACCATTACAAGAATTTGAATCCGTATCACACTTACTTAGAAGATCCCAGATAATGTAAAATAACCGCATTCGTGATTTTACATAGCTCTATCATACAATTAGTTCAATATCGTTCAATTTTACACAAAGATATGATCGCAATACAGAAGACAATATTGAATATATCGAATGAAAAATTTGAAATATAGTTCTCGTAAAGCTTTAGGAAAATCTGAAGCTCCGAGAATTGTATTCGATAAAATCAACCGTGTTCGATAAGAATTATAAAGTAGCACATCTTCATAAAATTTTGACCTGTCGACGTACTCGATTAAAAACGTCTCCGATATTAGTCCTATCGAATACAACACGAAACTTCCACACATTGTCAGCGAAAACAGTAAATCGTCTGCCGGAAATTTAGAAAACAACGTAGAACAAGTCGAGTGCCGAAATCTCTTAATAACAAACGCTTCGACAGCCTCTTCGATTTTTCTTCGTACAGAACTGATCTCACCATCGCATCATTGTAATCTAAGTTGAGTCGTTTGAGAATTAATCGACACGGATCACCTACACTCTTTCTGCTCTGCTGTAACAGGATTCAAAGATCCGATAGACTTCTTCGAAGATCTTTTCCCCTCTTGCTTCGAAGCACCGCCGTTTTCCGGTCCCCTGCTTCCGGTCACTTTACAGGACCTGCCGGTGATCTTCTGATCCTTACTTGACTCCGTGACTTTGTCCAATTCCGCCATTGCTTCCTGTATAGCGTTCTCCAGTTGCATGTTCAATTTACGACTTCTAGAAAAAGAAACGGGGCAAACGAGAAAATCGTGGGGTTAGTCGAAAGGAACGTTCAGTGCGTCCGGATACGGTTTTGGTGAGCAACAGCAAAGCCGCGATACGTTTAGAATGCGCTACGCAGCTACGACACTACTTTGCTGGTCGGGGATTGGTTAAATGAATCGAAACAGTCATGAATTGATCAAAGAAACGGACGAAGGACTCCTTACGAATTGTTGAAAATTCTCCGTTTACTACGTGACATTTTTATAGGAAAATTTTGGTAGTTCTCGAACATTAACTTATTAAGAACCAAGCATTCGAACGATATACTCGAGTTATGCAAATGCAATAATATCGAAAGATGTAAATGAAGTAATTTACACTACGGGTCACATACATAAGTATCCGAATATCTTGACAACAATATACGAATGATAAGAAAATGTATAAATTGAGGAAAAAATTAATAACTAAAAGCAATATTTATCATTTTATCGTAGAGTCACTGGATAATAAACTTTAGTCATTTGTTTAAAAATTGAATGACATTATATGAAACTTCAATAATGTTACGAATATTTCAATTTTTTTAAGTATTCTTACGAATATAGGATTTAAATGCAAGAAGAAAAAGTGACAAAACATTAATCACATCTTTGAAATTCTCTTGCTAATCACAATGTCACGTAAAAAAGTAACTGATTAAATTGACTTAAAAGAGATTATAAATTAAATGTCGCGTTAATGCAACGTTGGCCCTTAATACGTTAGTCTTCAAACAGTCTTAGTTCTGCTTTAAGTTTCTGAACATCTTTTCCTTTTCTTTCTTAAGCAAAAAAGAAAAAAAGATAATTGATCCATTGAGAAATTAATTGTTATTTGGAAATACGATGATTAAAATTTGGATGTTTTAAAGTTTACTAGAATTTACGCCTTTTATTTCAGCTATTGTTCCTCCAGTCCAATTAATCGGCAAAGCGAAACAAAAAAAATTTTTTATCGAACATATAATTGCTTTTTCCAACTGTCGATAAGAGTTTCGATTCAATCAAACAAATTTAAATATCCGGCTGTCGAATCCTCCATAAGCGGATTTGGAACGGCGAATGGCGTTATTATTAAAAGATTCTCAACCGTAAATCTGTCACGTCCATTTTTTTTATCCGATATTTTACACGCATCACAGACTGCATCCACATCGAAAAGAATTTCATAAAATTTTACCGATATTCGTTATCTGCCGTGTAACCGTGACAATAAACCTTTTTTTTTGTGAATGATATACGAGACTACGAAGAATTTACTACTAAACAAAGAATACAGAAGTTATATTTAAACAGCAATACTAAGCGATATAAATAAAATTGCATATGTGTTTGCAGAGTGTAGACTAAAATACGTCTAAAAACGCGCAACTGCGATCAAAGAGACAGAGTAAAAGCATTTTCCAATAGGGATCTTCTAAAAGGGCTACCTTAAAAGCCTTCTACTGTTAAACGAGTGTCGTGAAATTAACAATCGCAGCTACGCACAGGTTTTCTTATATTAAACAGAGATTTGATAACATTGGCTGTTGGTTTGTTAATAAATGCTTGACAAGGTTGATCCATTTATAGATTATTGTTTATGTTATAAATGTAATAATACGTATAAAATAATATAAGAAATATTATATATTGTTAGTAACTAGATACACTATAGATCAACTATGTAAAACACTTATCAATCTTAATTTGATATACTTTTTATCTGTATCGGGTATGATAGGATGAACGATAACAAAATACGAAACAGAATCGCGTTATTTATCTTCAGTTGTAAAAAATTCAATTGTGCGACAAATATATTGTGGTTTTAAAAATAATGCTTCTCATAATATTCCAGTGATAGGAAAATCCGAACTGTACAAAAAGTTATTTATTATTTTTGTTAATCCTTCAATCAGAGTCGCTTCATCCAGATTGTTAAATTTTTTAAATCTGTGGATTTTTATCAAAACTTTAATTCCTCCAGCGCAACGGATAGAAATAAATAGAAGAATAGAAAGAAAACGATCTTTTACAAGGTATACATTTTATACCGTTTTCTATGTATTTCTGTCTCAAGTTGAAAATTTGTATCGTAAATCGTTCCTATACTGGATATTAACAAGTGCATATTTATGTAGCGATTTTACCAAATCTATTCGTATTATCTCAAATCAAAAATGCAAATTAGAAAAATTGACGGTAAACAATTTAACCACATCCTGTACAAACGAAGAACATTATTGAAAAAATATAAGACACAGATCTATTTGAAAAATGATCACCGATACGTCCATACGTCTCATTAAATATAAAATCCAGAGACATAATATGAAACTCTCCTAAAAACAAAAATATCAAAATCAAATCTAGGATAATAATATAACATTGAAGGATATCTAAGAGAGATCATGCGACAACAAATATACATTGTTCACAACTCGTAGAAAAAGACACACGATAAACCAGCAAAACTTGTAAATCAAATGAAACCTTGGGAAACGCGTCGTATACCGTTAATCGTTTCGTAAATGGTGATCGTTCATCCCCGCGGTACCCATCGTCCCTAAGAGGGCTCGTTAACCCGTTTCTGATAAGTTGATCCCCGAACGAGGTGGTGCGACTCACTTCCTAAACTTTTTTCGCGCACGGTGGTGCGCCTCGAGGCCTTCGGAGAGGGACTTGAGAGCCTTGACCTCGACCTGGCTCCGACCGCCCCCGCCCCCGTACCAACGGACCCAGACAGTCATGGTGCCCGGTGGGCCCAAAGACTCGACCTTGCCCGGCCAGGCCGGACTTCCTCTTGCGGCGCCCCATACTAGCTCACCCACTTCCAGTTTCCTCTGGCTCTTCTCCTCCGACTTTGCCTCCGTTACTAAAGGGTTTTGAAACAATTCACGGTGTTTTTCTTTCGGTTTCTCTATTGTTCTCTTTTTCTCGCTGCACGCATTTCTCTTTTCACTCTCGCTCTATTTCACGCTACCTCTCTTAGCCACCAGACGGTGATATGTATTTCGATCTAGCGCGGTGAACAGATGGTGAAACCAGACTTGTATCCGGGAAAGCAGAACGAGCATCGGGGGATCGTGAGATTTTTTATTGAGCTCCGAAGAGTTTGTACTCTCTTAATTTAGCGATCATTGAAGTAGTAACGATAGACGATATTATTGCTATGGTACTGATAAATACATTCTGTTTTGGAATTTATTTAAAATATTACGACTTCAACCTTCTACAGGTGGAATTTTATTCACGTGTGAGAGAAGGAATTGTAGAAGATTATAGATTCTTGTTATGGATAATTGCTATAAATAGCTCTTTTCATATATAGCTTTATGTATAACGATTGTAAAATATATAGCTTGATAAAAGTGATATAGCTTTTGCGTATAAGAAATACAGCGAGAAATAAGTAAAATTGTAAATGTATGAATAATATGTAATATCCCAAATTATAGCGAGTTCAATATTAAATATTAATTCGAATGGCTAAATGCGAATTAGCGTAACTGGTTTTGTGTTACGAGTTTCACAAATATTCTGCTTCTTAAAATGTGGTAATTGATAATAACAACAAACTGCGAATGTTTATGCTAATTCGTATATAAAAAATAAAACCAAAACAGAAATTTCACCTACTAAATATAACCATTATGTACATTAAGTTGTATATTTATATGTTTCTTCATACAACATGCATTCGGTACATTTTTTGCAACTCTTCTCATAAACGCATAAATATCTGCCACTTAAGTATCGATTTAATTTCGCAACACGATCCCGCGAGCTTTCGTCTAGTTAAGATTGTGTGTTAATTTTGATCAATAAGTGCATGACGCATAACAGCGAAATGAGTATGCTCTTTGTGCGTGCCTTACGAATGGGATGAATTACTCTGAAACATCCTAACTGATACCACTACGTCTGTATTTGTAGGGTTGTTTATTTTGAAATGTGCTCCTTGCTCGCGCGTGTGCTCGTTAAAAAATGATTAGTAGCTTCATACAAACGGTGGTAGGCGAGATCAGTGGCAAAATAAGGTATCAGATGGTTCGAGCACATGCAATGACTTCGTCCATCGATCTCTTCTATTTCTGACTCGACAATTAAAGAATAAGTCCTGCTCTGAGGAATGCAACCTGTACGCTTTCTTTTTGTAGACGTTCCGCGTTACTCGATATCATACCCTTCCGTACGTTTTCGTCCGTAACTTGAATCGTGAATACATATAACTTTACCGTAGTGACTCGATCGTAAAATAACAGATCCATAAAATTCATTGGACAATAATTTTTCGTTATTTCCGCAGGTTCAAACGGTGAATCGCTCGAATCGTAAATTCCAAACTCCCGTTTGGAACGGCGAATTACGAACGTGATAAAGCCGCGGATTTACGTGACAAATTTTTGCGCACGCACGTCCCAAGTTCACAGGCGTGGCCAGGGCGAAAACAACAATTCCCTCCCCAAAATATTATGCACATGCGACACGAGACACGTGAGGATGATTATGTACAAGAAAATGACCGCAACAAATAAGACCGGTGAGCCACACCCGCGCCGAAAATGAACGTATGACTGAAGCCCCTTGGCCCCTTCAGTGGTATGTGACAATTACGTGGACAATGAATATTAACAAACCTGACAGCCAATTAGTACAAAAAAAAAGTAGGAATGTGTATGGAATAAATCCTTATGAAAATTATTTACAATTTATTAATTCAACGTCACCGCCGTTACATTTTTATAGCAAAGCATCGAGTCTCCTCTCCTGGGATCTTTTAACGAACAAAAATGTTTAGTATTGACACCACTTACCTGCTTCGAATTCTTGTGAAATATTGCAACGAATTTTTATTTTCTTTTCTCTTTCTGGCTGAACAATAATACAGTCCAATGATACATCGAAGAAAAAATTTTGCCAAGAAAAAGTTATCGTTTGAAAAGGAATATTTTACATTTTCTTCGAATTCTTTATTTTGTAAATAAAGAATATCACGATCTTCATAAGGTAACATGTAAGAAAATTTAAAAAAACGAAAAATAATATCTCTTATCGAAAAGAAAATATATACTCCTTTTCTAAAAATAAATTTTACTAACATCTTATAGAAACTGATTAAATGGACGATAAATCTCGAAAATAAAATCAGGCGTGGAAATACTTTTCTCTTTTGATTATTCATATTAACTTTGGAGATGAGTAAATCTTGGATATTGCTTAAAAAGCGTTACCAAAGCGTATACAATGCAACAAGCAATAATTGATCATGCCACTACGCATGCAGCGAACGGAAACAAATACTGAGCAAGCACACAAACAATCGTAAACTAACGTAATTATGTACATAACGGAACATGCTTTGTACAAAATACGAGGTAGCATGAAGGAACGTTAGAGTGTAGCAGATGTATGTCTAACTAAAATATTGACCCTTGATTAATACCATTGGATCACAGGTAACCCACAAAATTTTGGAATAAATTGCTCAGTTTTAGAGTACTTCATTTTTATTTTAGAACTTTGTTTTATCAATTATTATACTTATATTTGCTAAATCTGGAATTCCATTCTAGAATATAGAACACAATTTAGTGACTACTGCAATAACTAAACGTACTCCAAATTGTCACCTATAAACCAACGGTATCAATCAAGGACTAATGAAAATGTTAGAGTTAGAAGAATTCTTATTACTAACAATCATTCTATAACAATCATCGACAAACAACGTGAAATCTTCTCGTTACGTATAAATTATTTTATAATATATCTAAAGTTATACCATGCATAAAATTACATTCCTTATCAATGTAAGACTACTGTCAGATACCACTTTGATAAGATAACTTTCATAATAAGACAATTCTATACAATCGTTCTTCGATTCTATACAAAATATACAGGATGTAAAAAAATCAATCTTTAACAACCAAGTTTACTAATTATAGCATAATTTATTTGAAAGATCGTTCGGAGCTTTCTCGATAGAATTAATGTGTTTTACAATAGTAACACAGTTTTCACGTCAACAATTATCAAAGTTGATTATCAAAATGTGGCTCGATGCTAATATCCGAGCTACTTATATAACTAATATACGATTAATATCTAAAAATACCATACAATACTGACCATCTTGGTCTTCATGCAGGGTAGAATGCATGGAATGGATGGAGTCCAGCTTTCGCTTGATTCCGCGGCCGAGGGCATGTTCCCTGCCCTCGCACCTCACTGTGCTCACCACACCTTCGGCTTGCTTCAACGTCTCTGACGTATAGATCTGTCAAATACAACTGGATCAACTCAGGCACAAGCCTACCAAGTCACATGCTAATATCATTTCAATCTAACGTCTGCCAAATCGCTCGTTTCATTTCGATAAACCCTTCTATTTCTCCAGCAAGATTCTCATCATTCTTTCGACCGAGCGTGAAAAACATAAGTGAACAGAATGAAGTAGTATAAAACAAAGAAAATAAACAAACAAAACAAACTACTTGAACAGAGAACAATTTTTAACTCAACTAAGTAATGTACAAAAATGTATAATAAAATATTAACGCGATGAGCGTTCGAAGAGCTACTATTATAGAAAACTTACGTTTTCTACGCTATCAATGGCCGAATTAATATGGCACGTTCAAATTTCATTCTTCGAGGCATGCAAACGAGAAATGATACCAAGATGACAAAATCCAAACTCTGATTACGCATGCTCATTGCAAGGTATTTTCTCTTTTGTTTTGAACGTTTAGGAATAATGTATGTCAGATAATTTTTAGCAAAAATAATACTGTTTAGCAAAAATTTATTTTTTCTCTGTTTGCCATTATAAAGAATCATGTTTCTTTTTTTTGCTTAGCAATTCGTTAACACACGATTAATTATACAAGTTACATTATTGCAATGTATGCTTTAAATAATAATGCTAAAAAAAAGCGAGCTGAACATCGTCCGGCCCACGAATTATCTACGCGTAAAAATTAATAACGTTAAATACAAACTAATTACAAACTTAATAGTACTCGATTGAAACGTGTATTATGCCCTTGCAAGTAGGGAATGCCACTGGTTGTGTAATTGAAAATGTACAAAATTAATTAATCGACCCGTACGAAAGAAAGATGCTTAGTCCTCCGACGATGAGTCAGTCTCCTCACCGTCGTCAGCTTCTTGCGCATATACGAATTGATTGTAAATGTATGGATTCATATAGGCCTGCTTATTAGGCGAATAGTTCACGACAGCAATGCTATTAGGATCAGACCTATAGTTATACAAATGTGGATAAAGCCCTGCTGAGGCAGCGATACCGATATTTACAAATTTCTGATAATTCTCGCTTTGTGAACAATAAGGAATACCGATGTTCTGATTCTCCAAAGGCTTTTCTTCCGAATTTTGATCTATGTCATCTTGCTCCGGAAGATGTTGTGAAACTTGTGACTCAATTTGATCGATTTCGACGCAAGATTTAGGATCGAATTTCGTTTGAGGTAACATAGTGTAATGCGCATGATCTGGCACTAAAGCTTGCTGTCGATAAACGTTCGTATTGGGAACATAATGCTGACTATGATAGAGGATCGGCTGATAGTGACCATGACCTACAACCGGCAACGTATTGACGTCAACCTCTGTATAAGAGACGTCCGTCATTTCTTTAGTGACGCTTAGGTGATCTTCGACAGGATTCTGGTCCATTGTGTCTGAATATATGGAATGATTTGGTGATGAAGTGTCCATATGCTCCTGTGAGTCAGCGTATGTGTTTTCAGGGTGTGTCGTATCGGCTGGCTGGTGCATGTCTGTTAGAGTTAGATGACGGTTGACCTGCTCTACATGGGTACCAACCTGGATCCCAGTAGTCACCGTCGACTCCACATATGTCTTTCCATGGAGACCTGGCTGACTAAGCGTGATTTCTTTCGTGGTGATACCTTGAATTCTCCAATCTTCCGAAGCCACTGGTACATCGCCTGAATCCGGTTCGCTACTTGATACGCAATGAACCATTGGCTGGAAATTAATATTTTAACGCGTTCAGTATATTAGTTGAGATAAAAATACAAACAAGGCAATATTATATATCACAGTTTTGTTTTCATTTCAATAAACAAAAACGCTTTGAATGTACTCAGAAATATTTTTTTGGTACAAGTAGATTTTGTTTTAATACAAAATTAAAATAGAAAATCACACATATTAATTATATATATTAAGGTTCTTTCATATGTCTCTTAAACTTAAAAAAAATAGAAAAACATAATTAGTCTGAAATTATATATAATTGAACTTGAATTAGATATAAAAGAGCAGGTATGCCATACTTAATCATATAAATGCAATAAATATAAATTATATATTCGCAACGTTCACTTCTTTTCAATCTACGTTTGTTCACATCACTTATTTAACCCCACAGAGTTTTAAAGCATCTAAGAATTTCGTATTTGATTTGTTTGAAACACACAGTGACAAATTTATGCTACAATGCCAATTTTTATCAAAACTATATATCTAAAAAAACTTGGTGCTTTAAAATTATACAAACACATGAAAAGATACTTAATTCTACTGAAAAATATTTTAATTATATGTATATTAAATAAATAAATCTATGATATTCTGTAAACATTCAAAGATATATTTAATATTATAACAATTGACATATTTCAGAAAATTAATTTCTAAATTACCTATTATGTTTTTCTTCTATGGTTTTATTGTTTTTATTGTGTTGAATAATGCAATATTACCGTAGACGACGAGTGATGTCTAGCTGTAATTGGCGGTGCAGGTGAAGCTGCTCCATGCGTTGTAGTGTCCACGGCAGGACTATTCGATCTTTGACTATTCCCTGGACTATGTGTGGTGGTATCCGGCGGCGATCCTTGTCTCATCATAGCCGATTGAGCCATATTCGCCTGATTACCAGCTGTCTGAGTCGAAACAGAATGTCTTGCCATCAGAGGACTGTGTTGATCGCTCTGTTGAGCTGTTTTCTCAACAACAGTCGTACTACTACTGGCAAGAACGTATTGCTGCTGTTCAACGTTCTGCTCCGAAGACGGTGAATTCACGCTACTTTTTGGGGAAGTGGGCGCCTTTCCTTGAATCATTCCAGAACTCAAAATATACGACTGATTATGATCAATGTTTAACGAAGGATCGACGGTGGTTCCATTAGAAGCTGCAGCTTGAAAATTAGGTATCTGATTGTTAGATACCATGGTCGTTTGTTGCTGTACGATCGTAGTATTTTGCTGAACGAATGTTGTGTTCTGTTGATTAGGGGCCGACGAAACAGCGATATTCTGCGCCGTCCCACAAGGTACCATCAACGTCTGCCCGTTCATCTGTATGAATTCCTGCTGACCCTGCATGTTTGTCGGTCGAACTTGCGAGGCATTAAAAGTCACTTGCTGGTTCGGACTGACATTTGCTACTATCGGACTCAGTTGGTTCCCAAACGACGTTGTTCCATTTACTAAGAATTGGCCACTGTTCGGTGAGAGGAATTGTGCGCCAGGACTATGCTGTTGAATAATTTTTCCGCCGGTTGCTTGCGGTGCTCGAATGACCATTCCAGCAGGACCAGCTGCTAAAATGCTCTGACTCGGATTGAATATTCCACTGTGGCTTTGCACCGGAGTTAACACGTTCTGACCGTTTACGTTCTGTATCTGCAACTGCATACCGATGTTTCCTGTGTCTTGCAGCAAGGTCGCCGTTCCATCAGCAGACATAACCATACTTCCTATACCAGGAACGATGAATTGTTGAATAGTAGGGAAATTTTGAACCATACCAGCAGCTCCGTTTAATAAATTCACTGGTTGCAGAAGATTTATTTGCTGAGCTGGTTGAGGATTCGTGATAATTTGTTGAGCATTGAACTGAGCCGATGTTGCACCGGCCTGACCATTCATTACCAATTGAGCTGGTGCTCCACCCTTGCCAGGAACAATTGTCAATGCCTGCAGCATCGGACCGCCTATGCTCTGAGTTTGGAAGTTCTGCTGCGCAAAGTTGGACTGCGACTGCATCAGCATGCCGGCATTCTGTTGGGACGAAGCGATATGCAACATCGAGGCCACTGTCTGCGGATTCGTCTTTCGTTTTTTGTACGCTTTCTTTTTGCTCATTGCTGATTCAGGCGATAGCAACGCCGGTTGCCGATTTACCATCCCTTGATTCGCACTGACGTTTCTCGTAACGTCCTGATTCGCATCTAGGATTGACTGAGCATTTTGTATCACGTTTCCAGTCGCGACAGTTAGATGCGGTATTTGAACGTTCTGACCTATACTGTCCATCGTCATGACACTAGGTTGTATAAGTACAGGAGTCTGAATAGTGTTGACGAGCACCGTGGGCTGTCCAATAACTTGCTGAGCTACGCCCACCGCAGGAATGACCTGGCTGACAGCTCCTGTCACACTGGTGACCATAGGTGACACTGACAATGGTGGCATCGAATTAGAGTTGGAAATAATTTTTGGAGGAGGTGGTGCCATTACACCGTTGATTCCTGAACCCGTGCTAGCCATTATAAGTTGACCACCATTAGACACTAATATATGACCAGGAGGTAAAGTCGATCCAGGAGGATGTTTTAATATTCCGCCTGACGTAAGAACATTATGAACTTGAACATTGGACTGAGGATGCTGTTGGGTTGGTTGTTGTTGCTGTTGTTGACTTTGAGGTTGTACTGGTGAATTGGTACTGGCCTGAGGTACTTGTATACTACTAACGACGCTTTGAACCATCTCTAATGGCGATTTCGACACACTTATCGCTATCGACGATTGACTATTCGGAAGAGAGGACGTCGTAGTAACAACAGTGGTTGGTACATTCGTTAAGGTTGTCGAAGACGCTGGATGCTGTGATTTATTCGAGAGTATATCTGGTATAGCGGGATTTGGTATTCCAGAAGGTGTATTTATCGAAACCGTAGCGGTATTTGCTCTTCCAGCTAGCACAGATGTGATGGTATTACTGCTAACCGTATGGCCGCTTGCCATTGTGGTTATTACCGATGACGTACCAGCAAAGTGATTCATCGGTACTCTCGAAACTGCATTCACAGTATGAGGATGTGGCTGGTAACCATCCAAAGACGACTGTCTCGTGGTTTGCCTTTTTGTTATTTGAGACGTCATACTGTCTGAACCGGGGGTGGATGATTGCGACGATGGCGTACTAGAAGGAACTACGTTTGAACTCGTTGTAGCAGAGCAAGGCGTCTCCGCGCGTTGCTCTGGCGCAACACTACCCATCGAAGACTGTGAGGGTTGTTGAGCCTGAGGCGTTAAAGGTTGAGATGGCACCTGACCAGACGTAGAATGCGAATGAGGTGTTGGCGGTTGCGAGTAACTATGTGGCGTCGACGGTTGCGACGAAATGAGGCTTTGAGGCGTTGCCGGCTGCGATATTCCAGGTGTCGACGAAGCTGGCGTGTCCGAATTCGCTGGACTGTTCGTACCAATCGGAGATCCATGACTGGTACTCACAGTACCACCCTGGATCGGTCTTGAATCAGCTTGCTGCTGATTGTTCTGATACTGTTCTCCAAACGTGGACGATGTAACAGGATCCTCGCGTTGATCAGAATGCATCAGGTACTGACGTTGCATTTGTTGTTTATATTGATCCTGCACATAAGATTGAGTATCAGCACTGGTAACACAACCTTGGCAAGGACTATTCTCCGAATCTGTTCCTCCACTGCTCGAGGTGGGAGTCATGCTACTGTGTACAACAACGGGCGAGGTTGCGTGATTTTTCACAGAATTAAACGTCGATGTGCTCGTGGGGCTGGCGCCGGAAGAAGGCTTTGGTTGTGGAAGATAAGTGTTATTAGGCAAATGCGAACCATGACTCGTTTGCGGTGTTTTCGAATTATTGACAATTCCCACTTGAGAGCTACTAACACCGGTTTGCCTTGATATCGTGCTATTCAACAAAGCAGTCTGTTGCGCAAGGTAACCGCTGGGATCTTCCAAAAACGACGGGCCGCTGCTATTGACGGTCGAACCAATTTGATTACTATTCTGTTGATTTTTCTCGTTGAATTCATCTATTGGACTCGAAGCTGATTGATCAAGGCTATTGTTTCGAACATCTGTAACGCTATGCTGGCGTTGTTTCTTCACCATTACTTTACTGGGTTTGGCCTTCTTGCGTGCAACTTCATCGGTCCAAGTGGATGCTTGTGGAATGTGGTGATGTAGAGGTGGAACACGATCGAAGGAGTTACATGTGATGTTCTGGACTGTAACGAGAGAAGGCTGATGAGAACCCGAAGCTGACCGATTTTGTTGCCAAGGTGGCGTTCTCGAATTGAAATGCACGTTACCGGGTTGCCCGTTTGGTCCCATTCCAGACTGCGTTTCAACAGCATGATTGGTATTCGGGCTCCTTCCCGCTACATTAGATAAAGCGTATTGTTGCTGATGTTTAACATCTACGATAGCTCCTTTCGAAGCATCGAAACTTCTCACAGGATATTGAACCTGATTCTGGGCGTACATTCGTTGCATATTTTCGTGGGAATTATTCGATAAGTTCCCATTTTGTACGACATGGTGCCGTTGTACAGCGTGATTGTGCAGCAGAAGTTGTTGTTGCTGCTGCTGCTGTTGTTGTTGCTGCTGCTGCTGTTGTTGCTGCTGCTGCTGCTGCTGCTGTTGAATTTGTTTCGCATTCAAATCTTCATCTGTCACAGAAGAAGTACGATTATGTCTGTTCTGCATATCAGCAGTATTCATCACGGGACCAATTGTTTGTTGTTGCATTACGTCTAACGAATGATGATTCAACTGTTGATTAGGATACTGAGGTTGCACGCACACCTGAGATACTTGTTGTTGATGCTGATGCTGCTGTTGCTGCTGGAGTTGTTGTATTTGCATTTGAAATTGATCCGCTGGTTGTGCCTGCATTACGTGTTGATTGGGTTGATGTTGTTGCGTTTGTTGTTGCAGCTGATGTTGATGAATTTGGTGTAACTGCGGATGAAGAGCAGATTGAGCTGTTACTTGTGAGGATTGCATGTGATGCACATAATTTTCTGACGAATGTTGAGGGTTGTAGTTTCCTGATTGTTGATCAACTTCTTGAGTCAAATGCTGCTGTTGTTGTTGCTGCTGTTGCATCTTATGCTTCTGCATTTGTTGCATGTGCAATTGCTGTTGCTGTTGTTGCTGCTGCTGGTTCAAATGGTCCTGCTGCTGCATTATGTGTAACGGCTGCTGATTTAATTGATTAAGATAGTGAGGAGCTTGCTGTTGCGTTAACTGATTCACGACCGTGTTTTGATGTTGTTGTTGTTCGTGTTGCTGTAAAATCTGCATATGTTGCATTTGCTGATGATGAGGCAGTAACTGTTGCTGTTGCTGTTGCTGTTGCTGTTGTTGAGATATATGCTGCTGCATAAGTTGCTGCTGCTGCTGCTGCTGCTGTTGTTGTTGTTGTTGTAATATAAGCTGTTGATGTTGCTGTTGCAACAACTGTTGTTGCTGCTGAGTCATATTGTTAAAATTGGCGCCCTGCTGATTCATGATCAGGGAATTTCCCATTAACATCCCCGACATATTGTGCTGACTTATCCTTTGCTGAGGATTTCTCGTTACACAGCCGTTTATATCTTGTGTTTGAGAAGGTGAATTTAATGTTTGATGACATATCTGCTGATTACTTTGCTGAACTTGCAAATTAGGGATCGCAATAGGCCACACCTGGAATATGAAAAACATTCACGTGTAAACATTATACTATATACATAGTATTCGACATACATTACAAAATAATAAAATTTACCTACTAACTTATTTATTTATAAAGATTTATCTATTACAGGTAAATTTATTATTTACAATAAACAGACCGTAATTATTGACTCTTGGACAATATAATAAAGTAAAATTTAGAACAGCGAACGAACTTGGAAAATAATTATCTTGTTTTATTATGATTACATAATTATTATATTGAATAAAAATTAGATATTAACGTAATACAATTTTAACTTCTTATAGGAAATAAATATTAATAATTACGTCACGTATAATTTCATTTAAAATGTAAAGTTCGCAGTATTATTTGTTCGAATCTCTCTCGAGATACACTATGAAAGGATTAAAATAGCAGATTTCTCTTCCGATTAATTAAAATTAGTATCACATTACCTGCGATCCATTTGGTACTGGTGACCCTTGCACTCCAGATGCCGCAACAATAGCTCTTTCGCGTTGTGCCATAAGTTGTGAGACTGAGACTCCTGAGAAAATGTTTCCTAGCCCCCCTATTTTCCTCTTCTTTTTCTTGTTGAGACCATCTGAAAAATATAATTAAACGTTGATAGAAATCATCTTTTGTTATTGGATACTTAAGATATGCAAAAAAATGATATTAATTCTTAATGGAATTCCGGGGCACATTAAATCTTCAAGGTCATGGAGAATTAAAATACGACTCATTTCCCTAACTCTAATTTTAACCCTCCACTTATTATTCAAGCGCTGCTTCAGGTTTCTTAATGAACGAGTGTTCCATTTGAAGTCCCACCGCAAGGTTAAATCCTATTTAGCGTAACAATTCCAAGATTCATATCCGTTTTATTCACTACCTTTCTTTTCCAACACATTTTACTTGTAAACGAACGTATAACTTTTTCCAATTTTGTATAAATCAGTTACAAAGATAAATGGTTATAATATTGCCTTTTTTCCAAGTGCAGAAGATAAATGCACGAAGTGTCGCAGAAATTGCTGATTTATAGTATGACACATTCTGAATGAAAATAATTACTATTCTTTGCATAATAGAAACTATTTAATGAAAATTAGTTTTATATATTAACAGTAGTATAATATTTATAGAACGTATATAATTTTCATCGTGTTCATACTAATTGTTTCTACATACGAGAAAAATAAATAATGCACGGGAATGCACGCGAACTATTTAAACGATGCTAAAAGATACAAGAATGGAGGAAAATCACCCTTATAGGTTCGTTAGTATTTAAAAAAAATTGATGAATCAAAGAAAATGAAAAATAGAACGAAGCGAAGCAAATAACTGTTTCATATTTTGAATCGAAGCGAAACTATACAACCCCTCACAATCAAAGGTTGACAAGCAGCCATAACAAGCGTTCACACTATAAAATTACCTTGATTTACGAGGATAACAGAAAGCAGAATGGCAAAAGGGTGGCAAAGGGGATGGTTTTCAATGGCGGTCTTTTATCCGTAAGCCTACAGCGGATAATTATTCTCCACGGCTTCAATGGGGGAAGACAATTCGGAAGCGGGAGAAGCAAGATGAAGAGGACGAGGAAAACGGATGGGTGAAAGGGAGGTAGGGTAGGATGTAATAATGAATCCACCTAGGAGTAAGGCCAAGTTGTCTGCAACGACGGTAGTTTAACCCGATTTTCAAGGGGGTGAAAATTTGCGTAAAATCTTTGAAGCATTTCGTGGCTTTCGAGGGAGGTTCGCGTGAACGCGTAAAATCCCTCTCCCTTTATCCCAAAAATCTGCAGTCAATGGCTTATGGCTGTAAGCGTTGCCGCCATTAAATCTGACGAAGCAGAGATGACGTAGCAATTATGAAATATAGGCTATCGCTTAAGGATGAAACTCGATCCCTCGAAATACGAGGAAAGATATTGCAAATTCGATTGCAAGGGAAAATTACAAAGTGCGCCTTTTCTGATGTAATTTCTCAAATTACTCTTTGTTCAATGTCTTGCAATAAAAATATATATGTAATATATGAGATTAAATAATAAAACGAATGGAGAAGCCTAATTTCTCTTGAACACACAATATTCGATACGGCTGAAATATGCTAACCAAAGATAGTTCCCATCGTTCTCAAGCAACTCTCGCGGTATAGATCGAAGTTGCGGACTCGATGTCAGGAGATTTCGATACAGGGACCAATTGAACCGAACCAACGGCCATAATTATAACGATCTTCTGGTAGAGAAGTCCCGAGGCAAAACTTCTCGTTACGGCTGGCTGACGGACCAGCGGGATTCGAAGGCACTCGAATCACTGAAATCCAATTGAACCTCGGCCAAGGACTACTTCCCCAGTTGTTCGCTCATGACGATCCCAGCGTGGATCGGACGTTACGACGTGGTCGAGCCGTTGATGCGGACTAAACGGAAGCAGCGTAAAATGCGCTTGCGCGACCACAACAGGACGTCGGTCGAGGACGAGCCGGAGGTGGTTTGAAACGGTGTCGGCGGGGGTGAACATCACTCGGGGCAGGCGCAAGAATCACAACCGGACACAGACGTTGGACCGCAGTTCCTCTTCTCTCTTCACCTATTCGGAGCGCCGTGGCGCCGCTGCCTCTTCGTACGAAATTAACCCTTATCAACTCTCTGTCTGCCACTACCACCACCACTACCACCACCACCACCACCACCACCATCAACACCACCACTGCTACCACCCACTCTGTCCTCGTTCTCCTTCGCGTTTGCCCCCACCAAGCAGCCTCATCCAAACTAACATCGTCGCGTTGACGTCGCTGGCAGCGAATGGTGAGCGGATTCTTTCCTCCTCCCGGGACTTATTGATCGCCCGGACGATAAGAAGACACGAGCCGGCCGATTGGTTCCTCTTCCGGCCAGCTCGCGTCCTCTGTGCAACTCTAACACCGATGGAAAGCTTCTGTCCCGTGTCGGGATTGTAGCGACAGAGACAACCAAATGCAAATTTGTGGATCGTCTGAGGATTTACCTGAGTGGGCTTTAAACTGTCTGATGACCTGTGCATGGCACACGCTCTAAGGTCTTTTGCTAATGCTCGTCGAGTATTATGCCAACCAACTGGTTTTGTTATTAATCGCCGTTTTCGATAGCGCAGATTGTACGAGATTAGTTGCATAATTGACGAACGAAACATTTGATTCTGATGAAAAGCGACGAAGTTGAATGAAAATCAAAATTTGTCAAGAACTCGTAGTTGTAAAATCTTTACGTACCGAGTAAGATGATAAAAGAAAAATTGCAGGTGTAACTAATAGCTCGCTCTCTGTGAAATCGTTTCCTCCGGGATATCAAACGGCGCAAAGCGTATCGCGCCGTCGTAACACGAACGTGATCGATCGGGTAACAGAGAGAGCCTGTTTACCACGGAAAATTGTTCAGCGGGACAAGGAAAATGTAACGGCGAGCGATCGACCTCGTTAAACGTGTCACGATTAGTCGTTACACTTGTCTCGTCGACCTGGCGAAATCGGATCTCGAAAATTTATTAACACACCGACGAATCCGCTGACAGAGTGTCTCACGCGAAGCGTAAAAGTCAATCGTTACAGGCGAGAGCCGCGATACGAATTCCAGAAATGCTGTTTGCGCGCTCAAACATTCGTCCCCTCTCTCGGCTATAGGATTGGTCTAGAAAATGAACGCATATTAAAAACGAAAGTAAATCCAGATACGAGTAACCAGCCGTCGGAATTCCATTAATAGCGTCGATCGAGTTTCGTTTCTCGTTTCTCGGTCGAGTCCCTTGGCAAACTGCGGTACATAAAAGCCATTCCCCAGGCTGAGCCGAGCAAAACCGAAAAGAAGAGAGGAGAGAAATGAAATCGACTTTCGTTATTGAGACTCGTATTCGTGGAAGAGCGACGACGATAAAGATTCATTCGATTCGTCTCTCCCCTCCACGGCTTATTTCTTTTATTTTCCATCCCCGTCCGCGATTTGAAGGGTGTGTGTTTGCACACCACGCGAACGTATTACCTCCGCCGTTGAAATGCCTCGATAGAGGGAAACCAGGGGTAGAAAGAAAGATGGTGTGGAACGAAAGGGAGAGAAACAGGGTGACGTTTTCTCGGGCCACGTCGTTTTATATCACCGGAAAATTGGAATCGAAGCGACGCCCGTGAACGCGAACGTGAGCGTCGATGTTAAAACGGTCCTATAAAGTTCCACAGAAACACTGGCGACGATGTACATTTATATAGGGAGGAGCGCAATTCCGTGATGCAATACCGTAATCGTGAGAAAGATAAATCTTCGAAGAATATTATATCGAACGCGTGGAAGCAGATTATTTCATGTGGTAATTTTTGATAGAATCCAGCTTGAAAATTTGTCAATTCTGTGGACAATAGATAAATTATGCTTTCGATTTTCGAGGTACTTTTCTTTCCATTTGCGTATGTTAATCGTAAATGTATAGTTTCCATTAACCTTTGCTGTTAATTTTCTGCTACCTCTCGTGAAGCAAGTTTTTATGAACTTTCCGAAATGGTAATTCAGTTATCTTGTACGTGACGATAAAACTGTTTTCAAATGCGCTTACTTCATTTATCGAAAGTGATCAGTATACAATTTGTATACAATCAAATTAATAAAATGATGCGATTATTCTTTGTTGTTAATTTACTACGTACATCGTAAACTGTGACGCAATAACGTTAGTAATTATCAATATATTGTTGTAAAATCGTTACCATAAAAATGAAGACGACTTTTGGATAATCAAATTAGACGTGTCATATAGCAAAACGTTAAGTTAAATTTTGCCCACCATATCGCTGTTACACTGTCTCGATCACTTTGCAATATCCACCTAACGTAATTCCTGAGTGAACAAAATCTACCAAAACCACTACGCTAAACCGATGGCGGAAGGATTGAAATGCTTGAGCTCGGATGACAAAAGGTGAAATGAAACACAGTTAGAAAGTTTGCGAGCAGGCGATTAAAAATCAGCAACGTTGTCCTTTAAATCCCTCAGCCCCTGAAACCAGCGAACGATCAAAATACACTCGACGAATTTCAATGCACAGTCGGACTATTGTTTCTCATTCCCGACGAGCGAAAACCGTAAGCGAGGCTTTCGCTGTGTGTGCACAGGCTCGCTCGGAATAACAGCCGTTTAATTAGCGACGCGATGAAGAAAGGAAAAGACGAAAAAGAGAATAAAGAAGCAGCAGAGGAGAGGAGTGAACGGGTAGCAGGGAAGAGGAAACGAAAGAGGGAGAGAGAGGAAAAAAGAAAAGAGTCGGTCCCGCTCGGTCGGTTATAGGATTTAGTAATGAAATCCGGACGGAGAGTTTAGCCGCCACGGTGATACATCATTCCACCTCCTTCCCCCGGGGCCAACGCCTCCATCCACGGTTCCTACGTCGCGTTCGCCACCTCCATCCCTTTTTTCACCGACATCGGGGAGCTTTAATGCCGTCTCTATGTACGCGAAAAGGACCGCGGAAGAAAGAGAGGCACAGAGAAAGAGGAAAAAGGAAGCACAGACGAAACGAAAGAAAGGGAGAAGGGGATGGAGGCAACAGACCCCGCTAATGTCGCAATTTCGTCGTTCCTTTTCTTCTTCCCGGGACTTTTTTCCCGTTCGCTGCGCCCTAATGATCACGGCTCGGTCGGCAGCCGCGAGGCGCGATGCACGAGGAAAAACTTTTGGTCGTCCTCCAATAAAAGTTTTCGCCGCGTGTTTTCTAGTACGACGGTGAATAAACGTTCCCGACGATTATGGCGCGCCGCTCTGACTACCGGAACTGGCGGAACTTTGTTAATACGACGGATCGATGGGAAAACTTCTTCGGGGGATATATTGATGGGTGGGAGGATGTGTACGTGCTCGGCCGCCGCGTACGCTGGTATACGTGAGATTGATTGGCGAGTATGTATAATGCGATCGAGTTCGACGAGTTCGTGGCTCGTTCGAGAATCCGCCAAGAAACTTTTCCCCAGGGAAAATTCTGATTTTGATCGATCGACCACCCCGCGCCTCCTCGAACGCCGGATAAAACTCCCTAGATGGAAAAATTCCTTCTATGCAATTTCCTTGCGAGACTATTCCCCTCTATCTGATCGAGAAATACCTCCTCTAATTGGGCTACTTCGATTCCGCGTTTGTTATTCAACATGCAAGGAAACGTCTGTACTTCTTCGCGATTCGGTGACGTCACGATCATCTCTTATGAAACGAGTAACTTGGAATTATTTAGCTAGAAAAGATATTTCTTTCTTCCTACTTTATTTCCGAAGGGGCATACCATATAATGATAGAAGTTACTGTTTTAAAACAACTGTGAAACTTCTTGAAAATAAGAGTGAATATATTGGATACCAAGTATATTTTCTAACGAGGTAATTCAATTATTTTACGAAGTTCTTATTTATTTTGGAAATATGAAAAGAACAAAGTTTTATTAGAGCCAGTATAATTATCAATTCGAAGGTCGCTAATATTAAAATAAGACTAAATCTCTCAGCGAAATTTATTCAATTCATTGTTTTGTCTTATGGGCTCTTTTCGTGTTTAGCACAACAATTATGTAAGTGATTGTATACAATAAAAATTTCCTATGTTACGAACTCATAATTGTAAATGCGGATACTTCATTAAATAAGTAAACTTTAAAGCGTAACTGGTTTTATGTTGAAGCATATCGATAAATGTGAGGAGAAATTCAATTCTCCGGGTGAACGATTTGTTTACGTAGGATATTTTCGTGAATTATTACTTATAATTATTTTATTTACCGATTATTCGATATTCATGAATAAATGCTTACAACATACGATTATTGACGATAAAACGTACGCGTATTTAAAATGAAATTTTATATTTGAAGTAAAACCGAAGAATATCTTAACCAACGTGAAACATAGAAACCGCGGCGAAAATGAGATAGCAAATTAACGTATTATTTTATGTGTCACAAAAAGAATTATCATTTTTAGATAACATACTGTTAGAGTAAAGTATTTAGAATTTCTAAAAAAAATTTCAAAATTTTATTCATGAATTTACTATTTCTAGGTATGTAATGATATATAAAATGTCTTCTATTTCCTTAGCTTTATCTACTTTTTAGAAAATCATCTCTCTCTCTACTTTGAGGGTACTTCTCCTTTTTTATTTCTTCATAAACTTGTTATAACATATTTTTTATAACCTGACATTCAATCAAAATTTTCCTTCGCATATCTATTTTGTCACTTATATTTTACTTCACCAAGTTAATCGACTAAACTAAAAAATGACGAAAGGTTTTTTTGAACAAGTAATAGGTTAAATTGCAAAGGTTGTAAATCTTACAGAACAAAACTATATAATGCAATACGATAAAAAGTAAACTTATTTCCGTTACTTCCTATACGTCAGTGTGATTAAATCTTAAGAATTTCACTTTGACCCAAGCTCCCCTACTCGGTAAAAAATTCATCCGCATTTATTACATCATTCAGATCTCCGTAGCAAGATATTCTGTACAAAAAAAATCGCCCACCTTTTCTATTCAAACCCATAATCTACTCGGACATCGAAATTATGCAAATCACGAAGAAATGAAACACGCCGTCACTCTCGGCTTTTTCAAACCAGAAAAAGAAAGAAGGAGCGAAGCAATCGATACGGTAGGTCGAAACTAATCGTAAGACAGAATTGGCACACGCAAGGTCACGTTCTTACCTTTCCTGGCTTTGTCCGGCGAGGTGGGCGAGTCCGCGTTCACGTGAATCGCGGTTGCGACCGGGCCGGTGGATAAAGCCGGCGAAGAAGAGACCGTCGGTGTACAGGATGCAACAGGACTGCCGGCCGCCGTAGTTGGCAGCAGAAGTTTCCTCTTATGGTTGCAGAGCTTGGTCATCTCCCGCGTCTTGCCCTGATCTGGGCTCCAAGGTCGTGACGCAACCTGAAACAAGAACATAGACCAAGTCGTTAGTTACTCGTCGAGTAAACTATACTGTGTATGTTTCATACAAGAAACGATCGATTCACGACGAGGGAATTTCTGGAAAATCCCAAAAATCGTATAAGTGCATGATAATACGATATGCTATGTGATAACGATACTTTATATTACATATATCTATGTGCATAAATACAATCGGTGTTGAGTAAACCTCGTAAATATTTGTTGAGCAAAACCGATACAATAGCAACAAATTGTATTGATTTGGTGTAAATTGTAAAGGTGAATACATTAACAAATAGATAAATTATTTAGTGTGTATTTTCTCAAAGCATTGTTGCAAGCTTTTTTCCAATATCACTTCTTATAGATCGAATATTGTTGGTGAATTTATTTCATACTTCTGTGTACTTCTCTAATAAAGGGCAGCAGATATAATGAAGAAACGATGACGAAAGATGGACGAACCAAATAAGACAAATAAAACAAACGGTGCGTTACTTCACATATTTTTGCTGGTTTTGTCACACGTAGACAAGAAATGTACGATGGTATGCAAAGATTTTCGACCAAATATATTCTCTTATATATTATTAACGCTTACTAACACGTTGATTTAACGATCTTTTGGACACATTTAAACAATAAACGTTTAGTTGTTATAGCGTTTTCTTTTATACAGCATATGTTTCTATAGTCAAAATTGGGTAAAATTCCTCTAATCTCCAACTTTCAAGAGAAATTTGTAAGATCGGTTTATCTGGAAATTTTCGCCCATCACTATACGTATGTCTCTTTTCAAGAAGATTATAGTTTTCGTAAATGTCCTGTTACCTGCGAACGGGGCTGTATTTCACGTTTTTGTGCTTTCACGAATTCAGCCGAGTATCCACACACTTACTAGTCGGTCATATCTGGTGTCAGCTTTATAATTTCGCGGTTTCATCGTGTCAGTTGGTAAAGAGCGAAGTCAAGCGAAAGAAGGCTCGTAAAAGGCCACGTTCCTACTTTCGGGAAATAACGTAGCAAGTTTACGAGGAAATAACCTTTGGCATTTGTTCAAGCGATCTGGCTACAACCCTCGAGACACAGATAATAGAGATTGACTATACGGGCGCGGACATTGAAATAAAGAGGCGGAATCACGTAATGAAACGAGTTATTCCGCCTACGACCTACTTTTCCTGCCACGAAACGAAACAAGACCGCGATGCGGCCTGGCTTGCGCCGCTTTCCTGCATTTCTGTCACATTCAAACAACGCCGATGTATTATGCATCGAACGTTTAAATTCCGGTTATTGGAACAATTCGCCCAACGTTTCGATAATTATCCAATTACGCGTAATTGCAGTGGCGCACATGTGTCCTCGCCCATGCGAACAATTTGATTCGCAAGTAGCTTGGTATTTATTCCCGTAAATTAGGCGATATCCCGGAAGTAATAACGAGGTTCGATAATTTAAGAAAATGTCAATTCTCAGAAATTAAAGTAAATAAAAAATAAACGAAACGTTTCCTATTCGATAACGTAAAGCTCGTCGTTCTGTCGACGTTGAATGCAATTGATAGAAGTTTCGAACGCTAGCCGATCATTGTTGAAGAAATTGTAATAATAATTATTGCTACTAATAACAGAAGTTATTGTTAATCATTGTTATTCACTGGTTGTTGAGGTATTTATACGTGTTTGATTCTTAATCTATTACAAAATAGTTCAATTAGATTTTGGTGAATGCGAGAGAATAGTGAACGAACAAATACAGTGTGATATATTACATCGTTAGAATGAAACCAGAACGATAAAAGTATAAACTATTAGTATGAGATATGAATATACACGATATGGTTCAATTGAATCGTTTTGATAGATGCTACGTTATATTGGCATACATTGTTATGAAACGATAACTATAATCAACACTTATTGATATTTCGCCGGCATAGATAAACCGATTTCAAACTAAAATACGTAGATCGAAACAACGTACACACATGCTTCTGTCAGCCTTGTAAAATATAAATAAACTTTTCTTTTTGAAAAATTTAATGTCAAAAATCATCCCAATTGATGGAGGAATTCAAAGTAATAAATTTGTAACATTATCCATGCCTGGAAGATACCTTATCGATATAAAGGTCGTAGCAGAAAAATGTGACAAGTCTAATTTTGCCGTTTTTCTTATTTTTTCTATTATCTGTTAGAGCAATTACTTCAATGCAAAGCGTAATTACGCGCTCAAGGTTAGTCGAAGGAAATTATTTAAAGGAGATATTGAAAGGAAAACAAAAAATGTACATAAATGATAGTTTTCTAACTGCTTACGTAAACGCAATTCATCCATTAAATACCATCGACTTAAACTGCGTAGTCGAAAACAAACTATTACCACCCACTCGCCAATAATATCGAAACTACTACACGATCCTTAATTTGTTCGTCGTTAACGAAACAATGCACCATTTCCTCCAAACACGCAGCGACAGCGTCGGATACTCGATTCGAAGTCACGTTCGAAAGAAAAAGGAGGTCTTAAAAGTACAACGTTACAGAGATCGCGAAAGCGGGCCGACAAAAACGCACGGCCGTGGACCAGAAATTAACGGCGCCCACGCATAATGAGCGGTAAAAATGATGAAGCTGCGTTGCACTTTATGTATGTATACACGCGTATGTGTGTGTGTGTGTATGTGTCTGCCGCGCCACATACAACGTGCACCGTCTTATTTACGATGCGTCGTAATGGCACTGTGTACGTAGCCGTAAATTGCCGCGGAACGTCTCACGGGCTGACACGTAACACGGTTGAAGTCCTGGATGACCATTACCGGACATCGGCCCGTGGCCTTCCAACTTGGACACATTTTAACTCCGTGCACGAGCATCGCGCATCGATCATGAGATTCATGAGCATCGGTCCGGTCGAGGTCTTCTCCTCTTTTTTCCTCTTTTTGCCGCTCTTTCTCTCTTCTCTTCTTTCTCGTTCTTCGTTTGCTCTCGTTCGCTGGCCCTTTTCGACTTTCTGACTCCGCTTTTGCGCGATGCTCGCGCGCCGGCGTTCGCCAATTATGGCGACACAGCGGCGGCGAAATCGCCGAGGAAACGGGCAGATTATCTGGTGTTTTAGCGAGCCCGAAGGTGGTCCAAAGGTTTTCGGGGCCGCTTACTTACGTAACCAGCGTCGCTGCGAGGTATGCGACGACGACCGTTTGTTCCGAGGATTGCTAAAGATCCTTGCGGTTGCTTTTATTGGCGGTTTCGTTGTGAAGGTAATGGTACAACCGAAACGAGAAGGGAAATAAAGCGAAAGACCAGGCCAGGCCGGGGATTTGCATAACCCAGGCTGATCGCGGCTCGATAACAGCGAACCGACGTTGCCCAGTATTGATATTTTGATGAGAACGCCCCGGTTAATATTCACGCCCTCCTGACTGCCTAATTGGAAGGAAACTAACTTCGACTGGCTACCATCGAGTTTCTTCGTGAAATAAATTCCTGTCGAACTTCTGCCACAGAGATCACCTGTCGATCGGATATTTTAACGCTTCAAGCATATGGTTGCGAAGTTTCGGCTCGAGGTGAGATGGCTAAAAAGGAATGATATAGATATGGAGTAAGCGTCACGAAAAAATCGAGCTTTCTTGAATTATAATTATACGGGAAACTTTATGAAACTGTATAAAGTTGGACAAATTTCGACTTTTCGATATGTTCGTTAAAATTAAAATCCTTTAACTGTAGAGCGGAAAAGAGAGTAGAACTAAGGAAATAAATATTAGACAGGGATGAATCGATCTTTTTTGATTTGTAATTATACGAGAGATTTTATGAAATTGTATAAACTTGAATTAATTTTGATGCAAGTTGATATCCGAGTAACGTTGAGCCTTCAACAGCATAAAAAAGACTAGACAGTTATTGAGATATTATCATGCATCATGTAATTACTATAATTTATTATTTTTTTTATACGCACGTTACAGATGTAAGAGATCTTGACGATATCTTGACGAAGAAGTAATTATTTTCGAAATAATTTATTCTAAATTCTTCGTCATTTTATCAGACTATTAAACGATTAGTCCTTGATTGTATAATTGTAGACATAAATTTACACAAATTAATTTTGATATGCTTAATTATCGCATCAATCGAATAAGTTAAATTAATTAAAATAAAACTTAATCATCGTGTAATAAGTTAACAACGTACCATAACTCGTATTAACACATAATCGTCGTAACTAAATATTTATAATGTGATATCGCAGCTATAAAAAGGCAATAAATACGAATCTTCAAACTTATTTCATAAGCATACGACGAGCTGTCGTTTACAAGGTATCACAGTTTATTTTCTATGCTTTGTATCATTATACACGCTTGAAGTGTTACGAATAATATAGGCTATAGAAAATAGGTTTCCGCAAAAAAGTGTTTAAATACCCTGTAATTATTCGACTTAGAAGGTTTCGTAACCAACATCGGTAATTGTCCGTAACAGGAAAACGAGAAACTAATTGCACACGAAGAGACGCAGTAATTATCGACTAACTCCTTTGGCACAGAAATGGACGTAATAGTACGTCAACGATCTCGAAAGCGTTAATACTGTTGGTAAATGTAAGTGACAGACATGAGAAAATATTATTAGAAAGAATTTCGAGTTGAATTAAAAACACATTAGGCACTTATATACCTTTTCGTTTTGTAAAACTAAGTTAATATGTGAAATAGTTGCGTGCGGATTAGGTACACTGTCGCTCGTGAATCTAATAATGATAAATTAATAACAAACCAACGATCGAAAGTATCGCTCACCGTTTTCTTATGGAATTAGCAAATGTAGGAAGATTGTTTATTTATAATGTTAACGATGGCAGGTATGTTAAAATTAAACGTACACGATTCGTCGATGTGTTAATCGTTTTCGAATATTGTTGTTAGAATTAATCACGATAGTCTTCCTAACAATTTTAGAAAACTTTCACTATGTTATCCATAATTTGACAATCAGAAAAGCTGAAGATATTAAATCGTTTAAAGACAAAACTATTTCATAATATTTGAAACTTGCAGATACCAAGTTTTCCATTTACATATTTATTCTGAAAAATAAATGTTACCGTATTATAATATTCTATGACAACTTTAATAAAGTATGACTTTTTCTATTTGCAATTTTCTAGCTATATCAAGTTCCATTCAAAATAATCAACTGTTCGTATACTTCGTGCTCATATATTTTGTACAATAGCGTATTGTAAAGTCTCAAACATAGATGATTTAATTCAGGTTACATACACGTACACATATTCAAAAGAAATCGAATACGGCGTAATCGTTGTCAAAAGCTAGAAAATAGTATCGCTATCTCAATCTGATCTACGTCAAAAATGAAAGGCTTTCCGGAGGCTGTTTACTAGAATTCGATGTGGCCATATCTATCTACATATACGCCTACATCAGTCTGCCATATACACAGATACGAACTGAATTACGTAAAAAGTATGTGAAATAATATTTGTAAATTCCTTCTTTGTGCAGATATTATTTCAATCCGTGAATTATTTTTACCTTAAAAATTATATATGACAAAAAATATGAATAAAGTATTTAGTACAATACTAAATACATCCGTTCACGCAAACATCTCAATACACACGTGTATTACATAAGTAACTACTTTTTTAAGCTACAATTTACTTTTACTTTTAACATCTTTTTGTTACTAAATTCTACGAAATATTATCGTACAAAATTTTATTTTGTTACTTAACTTGAAAATACGTACTTCACTATAGGCAAGTATCAAAAAATATTCTATAAATATAATTTACATAATATTATATATTTTTTTTCAAATATTCTGTATAATAAATTATATAAGTGCGTATAGATTTTTTTAATAATATCGATATTAAAATAAATCATTCTGATATCATTGTCTACACTATGAAACGTTTAGATACATATTGATTTACTATTAAATACATATTTATTTCTAGCAAAAGAAATGCTGACAGTGCTTGAAATTCTACGTCTGACAGCTATTATTCCAATGAATTTTCGATATAAGTAAAAAGGAAAAATTTTCGGACCTATGTTTATATGACATTTTTTCATCCTTGGCAACAGTAGAACAGAGTACCAAACGTTGGCTATCTATTTCTTTATCATCTCGTATATTGTTTTCTTTTTAAAATACATAATCTACACATATGTTATTTTTAATTATCATACATTATATCTTTCCTGTATAATAATACATTTGTTGAATGATTTGGCACATGAAATATAAATTTCAATTTAGAAAAAATAGTAAAATTAACTAATATACAGCTACATATGCAGCTCACACCAACGATATTAAATAATCACAAAATGAAGTGCAAATTAGTTAATTTCTGTAATCCAAGAAATCCGATATTCGATGGTCTATTACCACAGGCGTTACCACGAAGAAACTTTGCACAAGCCGAGTGACTCACTAGCGAAGAAATCAAAATCCGAAATCAGATTCAACAGCGGTCGGCGGACGTTATTCTTTCCCCTAAGCATAAACGCACAATGCCTCTATTTGTGGCGTGGAGAAACTATTAAAATGCAAAAAAATGCGAAGAAACACAAGTGCAAGGTCGTCCGCATCATTTTCCATTGTTTCCAAGCGTTGAATTCATTCTTCGTTTCCCACGAGTAACAGACGAATATAGGCCTGTATTTAAAACGTGGATGATTTTTATTCTCGAAGGCATAGATCGGCAAAGATTTTCAATCCTTTTCGTCTCGCGACACATACAAGACACAAACGATTATTATACTAAAATTCTGTGACACGCTAAAAAATATATTATATTTGAAATTAATCAAAACAGGATATTCGTTCCAGAGAATTATGGTCGTTTTAGTTGTTGCGAAACAACGTATCTCTTATTCAATAATCTTAGGGAAAAGAGGTCGCTGTCTCTGATTAAATAATTAGGTTAAAAATCGCTGCAATAAGATAGTCGAGCGTAATCGTCGATGAACGACGGAGAAACATGTCGAAGTTTTGTCATGATACAGACCGAAGTACTGGCAGGTTAATTAAGAACGACCTGAATACGACGTCGAGATTACACGTATTCGCGGCACTCGGCCTTGGCGTCGAGAACCGACGAGTCGGTGTATAATGACGTATGCCGCCGGTTAACTCAATCAGAACGTGTTCCCTCCGACCGGTCTATTATTCGTTCTCCTTCTGGCGAGCCGCTCATCAACGATGATCACCTTAAACGCTAATCTTGTCCACTTACGCGACACGACGCGTCGCGATATTGAATAAAATTGCACCGTCGATCGGTTGTTTTCGCGATTCTCTCGAAATCGTGTCGCGCGATTCATTCAACGATGCCCTCGAGATTCAGCTCGATTCGTGAATCACGACTGATCAAATTTATCGATCTCGTTCCTTCGATGGCCTCCGTAATCCGAAGGACATCTTTATTTACGACCATCGATGCGAATATTAATGCTGAGCGATAAAATCGATCGGAAGAAACGTAGAGTTTCATTCAAGGTTTCGGCTGTGGGAAAACTTTTATGCTGCTTTGAAATTAAGTTGATATGCATATGTATTTTTGAGAATGCTTTTACCTTTAACCTTACCTTCAAACAATTTAATTGGAAATATTATTGTTGGATAATTTGCAGACGACGAACAGATTTATTGATTTTTTTAAATAAGAAATAACATGCTTAAATATATTTAAATATATTTATAATTTGCGCAAAAATATTGTAAGGTTTTATGAACGCCGTAACAAAGAAATTTATTGCGAATATTGTGAGAAATATTAACTACCGACCTTTCCAAGATCTGCATCTAAATATATTATTCATAGTTAATTAGAATTAATTAGAATTATGCCGGATATAGATAAGTATATGTAATATTTTTTGCCTCAATAGAAGTAAGCAATAGTTTCTTACTAATTGCAAAAACAAAAAATCTGATACCAGTCATTTCGATTGGATCAGTAGTAATTCTAGTGTTAAAAAAATCTAATGTCCAATACTAGGATATACAAATAATTCCATTTCTTCTATCTCAACGTACATCTACAAGTCAAATATTTATCAAATACCAATTTTGTTATTAACTAGTCACACGCCATCAAGAAAATAAATTAAATCTCTAACTGTCGATTAGAACAAACTTTTAAACCAAAGTTTCACACACTTCTGTCGGTAACAATTTCGTTTTTTCATCTACCTTCGTCCGATAGTCTTATCCAGAGACGGAATCAAGATTGAAACTGAAAAAGGTCAAAGCGAAACATATATCGAGATCAAAACTATTCCACAAAAGGAAACGATTGAAGTTCTATGCACAGGTAGTGGTGTATAGTCAAAAAGAGCGTATTCTCGGTCGAATAACCCGCTCGATAATCTGAAACGTTGCTAAAGCGTACCGTTTTCCAGAGAATTATTTCTCATTGCAACGCCGCCTTTTGCAAACGGTATAATCACGCCAAGCGACGGAAACCGCAGTTTAATCCATTTTCCTGGCAAACTAGACATCGTTCCTCGACAGCAACGACCTTAATACCATGGCTTTAACGGACCAGTGACCGTTGTTCACCGAGAGACAAACGCAGCCCTTTTTTATTATCCTTCGTTCTTTTCGTTCCTATTCGTTTACGGTGAAGCGAATAATTGAAAGGCGAGATGCAAGATGGTTGCACAACAGAATTCATCGGGTCTCTCGCGTGGGTCCAACGCCGATGAAAAATGGTTAATTAAAAGCGACTGTTCTTTTGGCGAATCGTTGCGCCAAAGCGACCAGTGAATTACAAGCAATAATTCGTTCTTTCAAAGCAATCTTCGACCGGGTCGTATATTTCCAGTGAAACGTGATTGTGTAATTTTGAAGGTGTTCGTAAATTGATATTCTTCGTAAAACACATAAATCTTAAGGAGTTAATGAATATGCTACTCGTTGAGAAAAAATTGTATAGAATTTCGTTTTGTATTCATTCGACTTCGTTAAAGCGATATTCTTAACTTTATTTCATCATGTATTTGTATACAGCGAAATATTTGTTTCTATTATGTTAAGCATTTTGTTATATGTGTTTGGTAAATATCTCTGTCAATATCTTCGAAACGATTAAAACAATGCTCTATCGTTTCTTTGAAACGTTGCGAATAAAATGATCGCACAATGTTAATTTTCCGCACTATATCCAATGCAACGTTCTCTCGCATTCATGCAAACGAGTTTCTCGCCGAATTTCTCTCGAATTGTCACTTCTCTGCCGAAACAATTGATCTAACAATTATCTCTGATAACACGAAATGTGATTTACAATTAATTGCGGCATTACAAATTATTCATTGGTCCTTGAACGCTATGAGTAACACGATAATGGAAGATCGTTCACAGAACGAATTTTATTTATTATCTTCACGTTGGATCGTGAATATAATATTCTCGCACTCGCTCTAAAAAATTAGTTATGGCTATATGCATACTTGTACAAATTTCTTTCACTTCGTGTTACTTTATGTAAATTATTCGACACGCTTAGAATAAGTTATTCATAGCTATCAAATTACACGGAACAGTATAAAAATCTCAATTAAAGTAATTTAATAGATTTAAACTTGCGTTACGTAAAATATAAATTATTTATAACTCACATTTACCACAACAACGAACAGATTTATTAAACTCTAGGTCCACATTTACATGCCGCTTCTTGCTCAACTTAAACAGCACTATAATGTATTTCCTAGGTTCTTAAAACGTCTGTTCAGTACTTGACATATTTTCTACAAATGTTTGGTCTCACATACCTCTAATATAATTTACTTTGCATCGTAAAGGAAGGACTAAAGGTCCCCTAAAGGATATTCTCTTGGTAAACGATATTTCGTATTTAGGAATAAATCGGAGACAAATAAATTGAAACGAAAATGTACAAAAGCTCGCGCCTATGCATGTTTTTAAGACACAAGAAAAATAAAATAATATTTGTACTCGTCGTGCATCAACGATGTTTGAGATTCCAACTCCAAACATGTGCACAAAGCACACTTTGAAGGTAGCGCGAACAATATGTGTGTATGAATACCAGCCAACTCGTGTTTTGCAACTCTAAAGGGCTTTTTAAAACGTGATAACAAGCGATGGACAAATATCTATTGTTATACCTACTTGCTATTGTTTCGTTAACAAACACGTTACATAGATAGTTTGCAGTGTGAATAAGAAATTACGCAAATAAATAAGTTGTAAACAACCTGATAGACACGTGCCGTTGGTAATAAGTATGCTACTTTCGATACTTTGGAAATCTACAAATATAGT